TAATAAAATGACACTTTATTCTGCATTTAAGGATACACACATTTTATTCCAATTCCCTACTGAGTTCTTATGACTATGTTGTAAAACACTGCCCTTTGCCCCCTTGACATTGTGGGCTACGGAGCTAAAATTTTTCAGAATATGCTCAATATTAATGCAACTAAAAGCTGTGATTAGCAGAGATTAGGGAAACAATGGTTAGAAATGCAAAAGGTAAACAAAACAAGTGCAAGAGAAATGGACAGTTTTGTATGAGATTTTCCTCCCTCCCATCTCAACAAATTCCATAATTCTTCCTGTTTGTCAATATATTCCTCTTATCAGCTGTGTTCTTGGAAGAAGCTAGAGGACTGCTGTACTGCATTTTATCATCACAGATTAAAACTTCATTTTCTGGGATTTAAATTTTCCAACAGCCTTCCACAACTTATCCATATAACAATGTTATAAAACAATTTAGTTTTACACAGACTCTGTCATATTTGTTCTCCTGAAGTGTTATCTAAAGAAATCAGGTACTGTTCAACTTGCATTTATGTAGGTAAAATAGAACTGCCATTTAAAATATAGCTCAGGAATAGATCTTTTGGGTAGCAGATACTATTGAGAGGAAACAATGACATGAATCTACACTATCACCATATCTGAAGTCCAAGACTAGATGCATCCAAATAAGTCACTTCAGCAATATTTTTTGTCTAGATAGAAGCAGCATTAGGTAAGATTTCAGCATCCCACAGAAGGTGCTCTCATTCAACCAAAAGAGATGCTTTCAAATCTTGAAAGACTTTTTTCCAGCATAAACCTTAGAAAGGCTCTCACCTAGTCTGCTACAAACCTGGGTTCTCTTGCACCCCTCACTCATAGGGGATCAAAAAAAATTAAGATTTCCAGAGGAGAGAGTTAAAGAACCCATGGTGCAATAGCTGACAATAGAGAAAGCTCAGAAATGTGAAAAGGAAAATGGAAGCAGCATCAAAAGGCACAGAATTATCCAAAGAAACACTGGCGCCGAGTCTGGAAAGGGGAAATACAAGTCATTTTGCAACTAACAAGATAACTGCATCTCTTATGATGGAACGCTCCAGTCTAGTCTATATTTTTTGCCCTCTCTTGGCTACATAACCTACCACACTCTGTTAGAAAGAATGTGGAAATTTCTCTTCCAAAACACACCAACGTAAACATGCAGCCTCCTCAGGATGACACTGATAATTGGAAAGCAAAAGGCATTCTTCTAACATGGAAGCAAAAATTTTAGCAACAAATTCTACTTAGAAGTAATGCAATTTAGTTTTACTCCAGTCCTCCTTTTGTGGTTATCAGACCCTCTCCACTTCTCATCCTGTATGTCTAGCAGTGTATCCATGATTCTTTTGGTTAGAGACAAGATCTAAGCATATCACTGCTGATTTTTATTCAGCTAGAGGGAAACGCTGTAGTCATGTGAATCTTTCCTCCTGAGAAGCAAAGTTGCTTTCTGCATCATTGATTACTTATGTTACACTTTTGCTTCCAATGTGACAGTTGCAAATGGGAATTGGGCCACCAGCAGGGCAGACTAGTTCACTAAAATCTCCTTTTCTAATTCAGCATTCAAGTGGCTTTGAGCCATCCTATATGTTGTTTCAGTAACTTTTGAGCAGCCTCTCATTTTAAGATTAACTTGTGCATTGTCAAGTGAGGATGCTTCCTTCATCCATAAAATTGAAGCCCAGGATCAGAGGCTGTGGAGCATGTACATTCAGCAACACTATACTGAGCATCTGCTAAAGCTTGGCACATCTAGATCTCATACAGCATAAATCCATCTCTAGTGACAGCAACTGGGAGGACAGCGGGTAAGAGCATTTAATAAAAACAGCTACTTTTGAAATAGAGATGGGGCAGAATCTGCACTTGCCTTAAGTCCAAGTTTTAAGCAATTAATTCTTACTACTCACTGAATTAAGAACATAAGAATGGCCAAAAGTCCATCTAGCCCAGTATCCTGTCTTCCGACAGTGGCCAGCACCAGGTGCCCCAGAAGGGGTGGACTGAAGACAAATTGCTTGATCATTGTCTCCTGCCACCCTTCTCCAGCCTTTGACATACAGAGGCCAAGGGAACCAATCTTACCCCCTGGCTAATATACTTTTATGGACCTAACCTCCATGAATTTATCTAGCTCTTTCATGCTCCAACTTTAGATGATGCCCCTAACAAGTAACATAGTCAGAACTCAGAACCTCTGGTTTAAAGAAAAATTTGAAGCCAGAATAGGCTTTTTCCTCTGTTCAGGTCACTCTGCCCCACAATCCTGCCTTCACACTTAAGTGCTCAGTTTTATATTCTGTTCTTTGTAGGAATGGAGCTGCATACTGCTTCCAAAGTCAGGCAAGTAGGTCACTAGGAATGCATGAAACTCACTTAAGATGGTGGACAGTCTGCTTTGGACAAAAAGCTTCCAACCCCCCCAAACCAATCTTTTCAAGTCCTTGTTTTGAACTGGACAATCTTTGCAGATCTAGAAAAATTCCATTTGACCCAGGATTTAAATGCATATTGTTTACAGGAAAAAGGGCAAATTTTGCTATTAATTTCTAAATATTAAGAAGCTGATACCACAGAAAGCCTGAAATATTAAGTTACCCCAAAAAACCAAACCAGCAAACACACCTCCACAAAACTCTATGGCTATGTCTAGACTACATCCCTTTTTCGGAAAAGGGATGTAAATGAGATGTATCGCAATTGCTAATGAAGCAGGGATTTAAATCTCCCACGCTTCATTAGCATAAAAATGGCTGCCGCTTTTAGTCTAGATATAGCCTATAGGTAAAAGTAAATCCATTTGAGGTTTTAGCCAATTAGAACAGTTTCATAACTTCTGTAAAAGTAAGTCACTCAGAGAATGGTTTAGTGAAATAGAGGGAAAGTCCAAAAAGCAAGTTAAGTTTTGTTATAGATAGTATTCCTGAAGTTTACACATGTAACCACAATCTACTGGCCCTGGCTTGTACTTAAAATATTTGGATTGTATGTGGATTTTGTTCCAGGATTTGTGGGTCTGATATTCTGTAGAGTTTAAACTAGGGATTTTAAATATTGGTTAATTGAATAGTTGAGTAACCTCATGAATTTTTATCAGTCGACTATTCTATAGTTCCCATGGGTGTGGCCAGCAGCCAGTGCACTCTGACCCCACTCCTGAGGAATCTTCTAACATAGGTGCCAGGCAGGAGCTGGTCTACAAAGAGGGGACAGTTTAAAAACTAGCTCCCATCGTATACCAGCTGCCTGGCGCTACTGCCTCTGATAAAGAGGCAGCAGTGCAGGGTGGCACCAGCTCCTGTGTCTGGGTGGCGACTGAGCTCTCAGACCCACTGCGACCTGGAACTGGGCTGGGCTGCCTTCCTGGCTGGCTCCTAATACAATTTAAATGCAGAGCCACAGCAGGGGTAGGTCTGAGAGCTTTCAGAAGCCAAAACAGAGCTGGGCTGCACCCAGCCTGCTAAAAAATGTACCGGCAAGGAGGGAAATGTGTGTAGTCTACAGAAATAACCTATAAGCTTTTGCTTATCGGTTAATCAATTACACTATTACATCCCTAGTTTAAACACCTACAACTAACTACCCCTGAAACTCTGCAGGCAGATAACATTTCTGGGAAGAGGCCCTGTCTCTATATCTAAATACCTTGCTGTTATAAAGTTCAACTTCAGCAAATTGGGTTAATTGTTTTAATAAGCCAGACCATACATATCAGTGGTTTAAATGACACTGTAGGTCTTAAAAGGCCCAATCCAGAGAATATCCTCTACTATGTTAAGGAGACTGCTGTGGAAGCAAGAACAGTTTACCCCACTGTAAGCCACTTTGAACTAAACAGAAGAGGCTTTCTGATGCACTCAAGTGGCTTCCAGGGCATATCAGTGCACATTAGAAGGTGGTAAAATATAGAGTGAGCTATAGTGCTGCAGTCTAACTGTCCTGTCCAAATGCTACTGACACACTCTAGGACATTCCTAGTGAATGTTAACGAGTAAGATTTCAAATGGGGCTTTATTGTGCACTAGGAACTTTTTAGAAGGTATCAAAGTCTACAGCAGTAGTTGAGCATAACAGTACATAGTGCTCTGGAATTTATACCCCCGGTGGTATATTGCCACACTGTGTAGACAAGTCCTTGGTCTGCAAATAGGAGAGACAACAAATAGTGGGGATTCATACTAAGATTTTAGAAAGGTTTTATTACATATGTATTGTATTTTGAGAATTTAAGCTTCTGTATCTGAAGCCAGGTGAAAGTATAGAACCTACATGATCCATGTCCATCTGTAATAGCTCAGAGCTTTAGCAGTGTTCTTTGGTGCCTTGATGTATCCATCAGTTATCTTCAAACTAAATTGAAAGAAGTGGCCCCTGCTGCTGTTAAATTCAATTTGAAACCAACACTCCTCTCCCTCAATTTTATGAATCCACTGGGCCCTCGTGTGGCTCTAAAAGGCTCTGTACTAATCTGGGTGAGGTGAACAGGAATGTTTCTTTTTCTCTTTTCATATAAACTTTATACAAAAGAAAGCATTTCCATTCAATGGAAACAATCAATGGATTGTTCTATCAAAGGAACTGTTGCAGTGTGAGCACTCTAGGTACCTGAGCATATAACTAGAATGGACACCATCTGCTTGGAAGCAGCATCCTGCATTTTCTATAGTGGGTATAGGTCTTTCAGAACAAAAATATTTGATCACAAGCATCAATGTAATGCTTGGTCATCAAATTCAGACAGCAGCTATCAATAAATTTGAAAAAGTTTACTGTTGACTTAACCCAACAGCAGTGTAAAATTAGGCAAGAGTTCTAATTTCTTGATGCATTGAAGCTACTGGCCCAAAGTAGTACTGTGATCCTGAATCCAAAGCAATTTGCTTCAGTAATTTGGGCCTCGTACTATAGGATATATGGTCTAAAGTGATGATAATACAGCACAGCAGAATCCGACAAGACACAGCATGGAATGAAGGAAATTACTATTTATTCGTTGACAGGTATACAGTATATGCCATTTTACAGCAAGTCACCACTGAGACGGTGAAATGGAAGAGAAATACTCACTTTAGTCGATGAATGTTGGAAGGCATTGGAGAAAAACACCACAGTTAGGACTGTTAATGACTTACACATTGTTGATACAGGACTGAATTTGAAAACATGCTCTAACATTAATCATAATATAATGAAGGTGGTTAGTGCCACATTAAAATAAAAATAGTTCTATACAATATGTTCATTTGGTCATGTGCTATTTACAGATTTTACAAAACACACACACGAGCTTGTTACTTCTAAGTCAGGCTAAAACAAGGCCAGCAGAGTAACTCAAAATGTGTAACTGATCATTAGTGCCCTAACTAAACGTGTAAGAAATCCAATTTCTAACTATGCAGTGCAAGTTATTTTTCCAGGTCACATTACAAAAGCCCTGATCTAAGAGACTGAAAAAACATCTGACACACGTAAATAAGGTATTAAAAAACGGAACTTAAGCCATCTTTAGAGTTAAAAAGACAATTTTCTTTGCCCATTTAAAAGTTTAAGCTAGACTGAAGTAGTGCCCCCTCCCCCATGTAAAGTGGGAAAAACTGGCAAAACAAGGTTTGTTATAATAAAATACATTAGACATTTAAATAAATAACCTTAAAAAAAAAAAACCTACGTGTGTTGAAGGGATGGTAGAAGAACCCAGCAGGTTCCACCTGGAATTGTGGTTTCTGCACAAGCATTAATAGGCATACTCTACCTCTTACAAAGACTGGTGTAAACAAGACAGTCAGGAATTCAAGACAGGAAGGGGCAAACAAAAAAAAAATACTGACTGAGGTAGCAGTACACTCTGCCTAGTGCAGAAAAATCGGCTTATGAATAAAAAATAAACTGACATCAACTTAAATTCAGATCATCATGCAAAAGAGACAGTTACATGCTTTTAGTTTTAGAAAACACATTCATTCCCTAAAATCTGCTGCCAATTTATTTTGATAGTGTCCGCTGGCTCAAAAAAAAAAAAAAAAAAAAAAAAATTTTTTTTTTTTTTTTTTTTAACAAGGATGAATAGACTATTCAACAGAACACTGTACATGCTTTTCATCTACAAAAAAATATTTGCATAAAATAGTGTTAGTTCTCTGTACATGTCAATGGACACTTCAGTTGTGTATAAAAGAGGAAAAATATTGCCCCCCACTGGAGTCAGAAAAAGCAAAAAACACAAAATCTAGAGTATGAAACCTCCATCACCGGCAAATATGTTCATGTGAAAATTCAGCAGAAATCGACAGTTGCTTTAAACAATAAAAAATTGATTTAAGTTAAACATCTTTATGTAAAATTGTCACTATGTCAGTCAAGACCAGAACATATCACTAAAGTTAGTGTCTGTACTATAAAGCCAGATAAGCAAGGGCATAGTAATGAGTACAAATGGCCAGGAAATCCCCTCGGTGCATGCTGATAAAGAACATGGTTTGGTGGCAGGCTTCACACAATCTTTACCAGGTTCCAGGTAGTTACGGGCCGCAAACTTAAGAGTCTCATCCAGCAGAATTACAGGTAGTGAGATTTTCAACACCATCAACCACTGTGTCACATTCAGAGGTGTGATTTGGAAGATTAGCTGTGGAAAAGAAGCCAAACATTAGATCCTTTTACAGCAATTCTTCAGACTCTGCTCCTCCTACTCTTTTCTCCCAGGCCAGAATCCTCTCCAGCACCCAAACCTCCTCCTGGATCCTACACCCCAATTCTCTGCCCCAAGTCACAATCCTCTCATTCACTCAAACTCTCTGAACCCACACCCTTTAGTGAACCGTAGTTCCAAGCTCTCTTCTTGGAGCCAGGAGGGCTTTGGCTTCCTCAACCATGGGATGCTATTCCAGGAAGGACTGCTAAGCAGGGATGGCGTCCACCTTTCGAGGAGGGGGAAGACTCTATTTGAACACAGAATGGCTAACCTAGTGAGGAGGGCTTTAAACTAGATTCGACGGGGACAGGTGAGGAAAGCCCACAGGTAAATGGAGAACATGGAGACCTGGGAGATGGGTCGGAAATGGGAGGGAGCGTGGGCTACAATGGCAGAGAGAAAGGAGGATCAGGGCAAAAATGGGAGGCAAGGTCAAATCGGGATCTTAGATGCCTATATACAAATGTGAGAAGTATGGGAAATAAGCAGGAAGAACTGGAAGTACAATTATGACATTGTTGGCATCACAGAAACTTGGTGGGATAATACACACAATTGGAATATTTGTATGGAAGGGTACAGCTTGCTCAGGAAGGATAGACAGGGGAAAAAGGGAGGAGGTGTTGCCTTATACATTAAAAATGAACACACTTGGTGTGAGGTGGAGATGGACATAGACGGAAGTGTTGAGAGTCTCTGGGTTAGGCTAAAAGGGATTAAAACAAAGGTGATGTCATGCTAGGAGTCTACTACAGGCCACCTACCCAGGTGGAAGAAGTGGATGAGGCTTTTTTTAAACAACTAACAAAATCGTCCAAAGCCCAAGATTCGGTGGTGTTGGGGGACTTCAACTATCCAGATATATGGCAAAGTAACACTGCGGGGCACAGACTATCCAATAAGTTCTTGGACTGCATTGGAGACAACTTTTTATTTCAGAAGGGTGAAAAAGCTACCAGGGGGGAAGATGTTCTAGATTTGATCCTAACAAATAGGGAGGAATTGGTTGAGAATTTGAATGTAGAAGGCAGCTTGGGTGAAAGGGATCATGAAATCATAGAGTTCACAATTCTAAGGAAGGGTAGAAGGGAGAACAGTAAAATAGAGACAGTGGATTTCAGGAAGGCGGATTTTTGGTAAGCTCAGAGAGCTGATAGGTAAGGCCCTATGGGAATCAAGACTGAGGGGAAAAACAACTGAGGGGAGTTGGCAGTTTTTCAAAGGGACATTTTGGGCCCTTAACAAGCAAGCTATTCCGCTGCGTCGGAAAGATAGAAAATATGGCAAAAGACCGCCTTGGCTTAACCACGAGATCTTGCATGATCTACAAATAAAAAAGGAGTCATATAAAAATGGAAAGTAGGAAAAATTACAAAGGATGAATATAGGCAAACAACACAGGAATGCAGGGGCAAGATTAGAAAGGTAAAGGCACAAAATGAGCTCAAACTAACTATGGGAATAAAGGGAAACAAGAAGACTTTTTATAAATACATTAGAAGCAAGAGGAAGACCAAGGACATGGTAGGGCCCACTGGTCAGTGAGGAGGGAGAAACAGAAACAGGAAACTTAGAAATGGCAGAGATGCTTAATGACTTCTTTGTTTCAGTCTTCACCGAGAAGTCTGAAGGAATGACTAGTGAATGCTAGTGGAAAGGGGGGAGGTTTAGAAGATAAAATAAAAAAAAGAACAAGTTAAAAATCACCTAGAAAAGTTAGATGCCTGCAAGTCA